CACCGCCCCACGGGGCGCCGCGCTGGGCGCCATCTTCCTGCGGCCGCCGCACGGCCACGAAATGGAGGCTGGGGGCGGCGGCCGCGTGGGCAGAGCGCGCCTTGCCCCTCCGCCCGCCTGCCAGTGTATTCAATTAGACTGTTTGTTTGTTTGTTTGTTTGTTTGTTTATACTGTGCAGTTCTGAGGCGCTGGGGAATGGGGTTATGCGTGGTCCCCATTTGCTGAGTGTTCAAAAACCCCTTCTGGCCCCTCAAACTGTCAGGAGGCAGTGCAGGGCAATGCACTGCTCATCTGCTGTGAGCTCTCCTAAATTTTGGAGGCCAAGTGATGAGAAAAGCAGCACTAAAGTAATTTGGTAGACAGGTTATTGCCGTAAGGTGTATGACTGCGCTGAGGGCCGCAGAGGGTATCCGTAACTGTACCCTGGGATTCGTGCTATGTGCAGTGTTCTTGCCAAGAAACTGTAACTCACTGGCCATGACATAATCTTGGAAGCGGCCTTGGCTGGGCTGACCCTTCCCAGCAACTCCTCTGCAGTCTGACTCAGCTTTATGGCTTGTAATGCAGACGCTCATGTAGGCAAGCAGGAAAACCCTGCTTTGTCTTCAAATGTTATTTTTTCCCCTTATTTTCACCTAGGAAAAAATCCTGAGTAGCACACCATCTTTTTAAGTTGTCACCGTCTTTACATGGCACTGAAGACAAAGTTGCCTCACTGCTGAAGACCTCTTCTTTCAGTTAGCTCTTAGTTAGGCAGTGGTGAGGACAGCAAGTGATGTCTACTCCCTAACCTCAGGTCCAAGGTTCATCCTATGATTTCAGTTACTGGGGTAATTTTACTTCACGTAGCTATAAAATAATTTGGAAAGGATCTCTGGAGGTCATGTAATACCTCGGCTCAAAGCAGGGTTTTGGTGGATGGTGTGTGCAAACTGTCAGCAGTAGAAAGCCCAGCTTACCTGGGCTGCCTGGTCTGTTGTCTAACTGCACATAGAGGAGACATCCTCAGGCTTGAAACTGAAATTTTCCTTCGTGCCCTTGTGACCTTTTCCTTTTGTCCTTCCTCTTGTCCATAGCATCATTCAGGACTTCCCTGTAGGTAGCTGAAGATGGCAGTAAGATACCCATGTCTTAGAAGTCTTCTGAGAATAAGCACAACAAACCCACATGCGTCAGTCTCTTCTCATACCTCATCTGCTCCAGACTCCCTCATCTCCTTCTCTCTGTTTGCAATATTCACCTGGTGTTTCCAGGTTTCTATAGGGAATGTTGAGGACTGCTGGCAAGTGTATTAAATAGCATGAAGGGGTGCTGCTGCAGTGGAATCAGTAATGATAAATATCTCAGATACCCCTGGGAAATGGTCATTAAAAGGCTTTGTCAAGAGATTTCATTCTGAGCTTCAGACAAAATAAACATATACTTTAAAATATGTTGATGTTAGAATTCAGATGTGTTCTTAAAACAAAAGCACAGGCAATGGTAGCCAGCTTGTCCATGATACTGTGCCTTTAGCAGTAGTAGATCACTCTGCTGTGCTAAACTCTGACGCCTACAGTTAGGGGCTGCTGGCTCCCTTAAGCCACAAAACCACGTGCTTAAGAGGCTGTCTCCTCTCCCTGGAAGGCAGCTTTCTGAAAGGAGATGAAAGAAAACGGCCCACAGCAGTGATTTCCCTTTTATGGTCCTCTTGCTTCTGTTTCCCTTTTTACACCAGTTGTTTTCCTACTTTTTATTTTCCAATTAATACAAATTAATGTCGCTCCCCTGCTTCTCCATTTTGGTGGTTTAAGCTATTGGCTCTGATGTCATGATCAAAAAGGCTTAGCAATGTGCTTGCTGACTCCCTAATCTCGTCTTGTTTATGTCATCTTCACCCTGAGCTATGGTCCCCCCCCCCATCCACTGTGCAGGAATTAAAGGTTAGCCTCTGCCTTTGGCTCAGGTGCAGGCCTCCTCCAACAATCTGCTTAACTGGGAGTCTGAGTGGATGATCCTGCCCAAAGGATGTGTGAATTGTTAGGTGGATCAGCCACTTAAGCCTCTGTGAGCTCCATTGTTGCCTGAAGTCAGTCATGTACATGTGCCTTCTAAGCCTGCACTGTGCTTTACTGCATGCCTTTTCTGCATATATATAACATTATATGTTATTTCAGTTAATGTTTACATTGATCTCAGCAGGATTTAGGTACCACACTTCATCCAAATATTGGATTGAATACATCTTAGTAATTTTTTTCATTTCATGCCATGTGTGAGGTTTTCTGTGATTCTCATTAAAAAAATTGCAAACCCTGTCAGATTATTTGCAGATCTTTATGGTTATCACTCCTTAGGAAACTGGATACATGGTTCTAAGGCCTAAGTTTTTATTAACTTTGTGTGGCTGATTTGCCATACTAAAACTGCATTTCAGACTATTTAGCAGTGTGTTTTTTATCATGGCTTGCAGGGCACTGATTGACTCCTGTTGTCCGTCAGAGGTGCTTTTAAGCAAGGTTGATTCAGGGTGCACAACTTGGGCAACCAGGAGTGCAGAGCTCAGGATGCCTCGATGACACTGTCCCTTTGTGGATACCCACTCTGAATGCTGAATACTCTGAATGTAATCAGTGTTTTTTTTTTTTTTTTTTTATGTTTTTGATTCTATTTGGTTTACGTACACACCTCTAATGGAAAACTTCAGAGTAAACTTGCTGACTGCAAAAGTAAGTCCGTGCTTCTCAGTCCCCTTATTACCTCCATTAGTCATGGAGATTAGTTTATTTGACATTTTGGCATAGGAACAGCTTACTGGCATGTTGCTTGGAATGGATTTTATGATAATCCAATCAAGCCAAATCACTTGGCTGCAGACTCTGCAGGTACTAGCAGGTACTGCAGGTACTACTGCAGGTTCATAGCTTCTGGGAGGGTTTTCCTCCTGGTCACCACAATCCTGTCCACCACGTTGGCCAGCTTCTCCGAGCAAAACCACTTCCACCTCAACTACTGCTCTTCTTGGGGAATCAGGCTCCTGTTCTAAGCACAAACTTCTTGGCCTTTTTGTTTGTGTTTTCTGCCACCTGCTTTCTCTGTGCCAATGCAAACAGCAAACAAATGTTCATTATTGCTTGCAGCCTTGCTTGTGGAATCAGGACAAACTGATAAGCAAAGATTAAAAACCTGTTTGACTGCAACAGTAGGTTATTCTGCAGATTGCCTTGTGCTGTGAGGCACTGTGTGGGCTAGGGAAAACTCCCAGCTTTGCACCTCGGCATTCTGGCATCCAGCTGCCCCTGCAGCTTGACAGGGTAACATTGACAGCAAGGTTATAAATCAGAGTTAACAACAACAACAACAAAAAGAGACAGCAATGTGCTGTTCCAAGTTCCTAAGATTTTTTTTCTTACATTTCTGATCTTTTTTTTTTTTTCCAGACATGTCTGAAAAATGCAGCCGGCACAAATGTTGGAGTGGGCCCTTTTCCAGTTCCCCTATCCCAGGGGCTCGGCAGCCCTATGTTTACTTTCATTGTGTTCTCCAGTTGGTACATACGGTGCTTCTGGGTTAAGCAGCTTATTACCCAGCAGTGTTTCATAAAGAAAATGTGGCTAATGTCACAAAAGTTACCAGCCAGGTCTTATTTACTTGTTTATTTTCCTCCTGAAAACATGAATGGGCTAATAGTAGCAGAGATGAAGGCTATGGTATCACAGAGTTTTCTAAAACTTTTTTTTTCCTCCTAAGAGTTGTGGGGTGCTTCCAGTATCATGTTTGCACTTAAAAAAAGAGAAAGGAAACAAAGGGAGAAAAAAAAACAGAAACAAAGAGACAAAGAAAGGAGGTCCTAGAGTAGAGCAGGGAAAAGTGTTATGAGGAAAAGCTGCTTTTCCGTGATTGCTGTTTCTGCATAGGTTTCATTCCACTGGGGAAACAAAAGTTGGGAATTTCAACTTTTTTTTCCATGTCAGCACTTTTAAGTGCAACGATTTCTGTATGAAAAACTTG